TATGATCATGAATAGTTATACATTGAATTATAAATCATGTTTGTTATTGATTAATAATTTTATGATGCATATTGAGTACTGATAGTTATGTAAAATGTGAATCTTTGCCCTACATGTTTGTGTTTGCCATACTTCTATATACGTGAGTTTATGTATCTTAATTACTAAGATTATATAATCTCACTCCCATTTGTAAATACTTTTCTAAGAAACGCTAAGAGTAAGGCTAAGGGGAAAGCAACAGACACTAAAGACATATAACTTCTTAAGTAAAGCCTCTAGTTACTTATTTAGTGTATTTGAATATTTATTATTGCCAACATTAGGGATTTGTATTTGTTAAAAGTCTATTGCATTTGCATGAGCCTAAATGTTGACTTAGGAAATCCTTGTTATGATTTTCTATGGTTTTGTAATAGGAGCTAATCATGCAAGAGTGTCGTTTATGGTTGATGGTTGAATCATCAATGCATATGGAGTCTTAGCATACATATCTATCACTATTAGAAAAATGAAAATTAGCAAGGAAATTTAGCGAGTGATCATCTATTCCTCTTTAAAATACTAAATTAGTGAGGAAATTAGTGAGGGATGTTGATTTCATAGCTTGACTTAAAATTAGTGAGGAAAATAATAAGGGACTGTCAATCCTTTTCTAAAATAAGTCAATTAGCAAGGAAAATAGTGAGGGACTACTAATCCCTCTCTAAAATAAGGCAATTAGCAAAGAAAATAGTGAGAGATTGTTAATCCTTCTTTAAAATAAGATAATTAACAAGGAATTTAGCAAGAGATTTTATCCCTAACTAATTAATGCAAAAAAAAGTAACTATTGGCAATGAATTTTAATTATATATTTAATTATTTTCATTTAAAAATAAAAATTTAATTTAAAAATTAAATAAAATATTCATAATACAATTATTTAATATTTCATATTTTCTTTATTTTAAGTTGATTTTCATTAATAAAATAATATTTCATTTAAAATATAATATAAAGAATAATTTAAATAAAATATAAATATTTTTAACATATTAATATTTGAAAATAAAGTTTAATATGTATATACATGTGTATTTTTATAATATATTATTTGATATATTTATATAGTTAAATAATTTATATTTAATTTCTCATATAATGACTGCAGGTGCTTTTTAATTCAACTGGCAAAGAATGAGAGTAAAAGGCTTAGGAGGTATGAGGTCAAGGGTTTAAGTTTTGACTTTAGCATAAACATAATGAATATATGATATGGTAAGAAGCAAGTGACATGGCGCAAAGTAGACAATGACATGTCATAAGTTGTCGCACATGTGGCGGGTGATGGGGCATGAGATAGTAGGTGACATGATGGTTGATGAGATACAAGGTTGTTGATGACATGTCACAAGTTGATGCACATATGGCGAATGATATGGCATAATTATTTTTAAATATAGGCATATATAGCGAGGGATTAGTAAGGGACTAATCCTTACCAAAGTTATTGAATGTTGAATAATTTTAGTGAGGGATTGAATTCCTTGCTAATTTTAGCAAGGGACTAAATCCCTCGCTAAATTCTTTACTAATTATGTAATGACCTTAAATTTTTAAATTACTTAAAAAAATTCTCAATTGATATTTTTTTTAAATTAGTTCTATCACAAGTAGAAAGTGATAGTTTGGTGGAACTTATGCTAATAAATATTTTTGAAGACTAAGAGTTTGAATTCTACCAAGCAAAAGTTTGACTTTATTTGGTTTTAAATTATAGGAAAAATTTATGCCCATCTTGCAATTTTCTCTATGCTCTATCTTGTAATTTTCCCAATTTCTTAAAGTCTAGATTTTTCTTCTTTCCTTTGCAATTTGAACTCCAGAGAAGTGAAAAGTGGGGAGATTTTCACGTGTTCTCAGCCTTCTCCCTTCTTCGCTATTGTTCTTCATTCTTCTCCTCACCACCACTGTCATTTGTCTGTCCTCTCCCCACTGTCATCCATCCACAACTAGAAGCTGGGTGAAACCCCTCTCCCCTGCTTCTCATTGCTAGATGTTCTTCTTAATTAGTTGCAGTTGGGCTCGTCTATTTGTTATTGTTGTTGCTAGAGATGTTATCGCCGTCACTGCTAGAGTCACCATCGTCTGCTGATGTAAGGGATTTCATTAAGGTTAGGAACTCTCCTTCTATTTCTATATGGCTATTGATCTGTGCTCCCTGTCTCTGTATCATAGCAGTACTTATGGTTAGCCATGGAAGCTTGAATCTCTCCCTTCACCTCTCTTTGATCCTTAGGTGAGTGAATCTCACCTTCTCCTCTCTTTAGTCTGATCCGGTCTATGGATGTGTTAGTGAATAAGGTTCAAATTTTTCATTCCTCTCCTTTCTTGGCTGCCATATGAGTATGAAAAAAGAAAATGATAAACTGAGTTTACTTCAATTCACAAGTTAATTAATTGTTGTTGGTTGCTATTGATTTAGTTGGATAGGAGTATGATCTTTTCCTTAAGCTTGACACTAGCCTGTATGGAAGAGTATGTATGTATGTATATATATATATATAAAATAAAAATAATATTTAGAAAATTTGATGAACTCAAGTGTTGAATAAAAAGGAAGATTAATATTGGTTTGAGGATTAAGGCCTGTGAAGTACTTGATAAAATGTCTAAATGTAAGTTTAGACATATGATGGAAAAATATGTATGGTACATCTATTATTATTGATTAAACAATTATAGGAGACAATTAATCTCTTTAGTGGATGTTGGGAAGTTTGATTAGTTCAAATTATTGTTATAGGAGAACTTTTAAAAAAGGGAATTAGAGCAAAAGAGGGATAGTATATGTTTGAACATGGATACACTTGAGGTATTTGTAAAAAGGCTTAAAGAGAGACTAGATTCTAATTGAGTGGTTAACTATGACTAAATACTAGAGAGAAATCTTTATGTATAGATTATAGTCTCAAGACACTCTAAAGTTGTTATAATTAACTACTAGTTGAGTTAACTTTGGAAGGGAATTTGTGTGAGATGAATAAAGGTCATTAGCTAATTTTTTATATATAGTTTTATAGGATGTTGAGAAGAGGAGAAACTTTTTAGAAGTTTAAAAAGGAAAAGCTTTGGATTTTGGGAGCTTGACAGGTAAGTAGATAGCATCTCAACTGATTTTTTTCAATCAAAATTTCCTTTACTAAAATATTATGTTTTTCTGGAAATCATTTTAATAGCATTAATACAATTATTGGATATTTATTGATTAAATTTACTTTATTTTGAGAAATTAGCTTTATCAAATTTAAAATGTTATTTGAACAATTAAATTAAGTTTGGACTTTGATTATGAGATTTTTATTTTATCAAATATTGGATTGATACAGAGAATGATTCATGCGAGTTTGACTTTAAAATTTTTGATTATTTAATAAATGGAAGCATGAGCATTGGATATGAAATTTGATTCTTACAAGTTTTAATGCTTAAAAGTATTCATGTGAGTTTGATTTTGAGAATGAGAACTGTATCGTAAAAGTGAAGATTTTCTCACATGTTTGAAAATGGTTTTAAAAATGGACTTTATACAGAACACTTGTTGCTAACTGTAGTTCCGTTAGTCCTTGGCGCGCTATAGTCCATTTAGCTAGCCGGGTGCTTATAGGAGGTGCTAGCCCCATGCGATGGCCAATGCACGTGGAACGAAAGGATGGTTATTCATGAGCATCGTACTCATATTTGTTTTGTGGCTTCAAGCCGCGTTTGATTAACATTACCCTTATGGATTGTGTGTCCACGTTTGTTTCATAGCCTCGGCTGCGTTTGGTTACTTATCTTTATGGACTGTGTGTCCACATTTGTCTTCATGGCACAAGCCACGTTTGAGTTATTTACCCTCGTGAACTATGTGTTCATGTTTGTAAATTGTTCTAATAAGTCCCTGTGATTATGAATCTGATTATTTGGTGATTTTATATCCCATTGGTTTTTTTATTTAATAATTTATTTACAAGTATTTATTTCATTTATGTGACTTCTTAAAAATCAAGTGATATTAACATTTGCTATGATAGTTTAATGGTTTAAGATTTTATTCAAAATTTTATAAAGCCATTTTATTCTGAAGTTTATACATTTTTTTATGGAAATTGTTGTCTCATTAACTTACATGATTATCTTAAACTTTTCTTTTTATTCATGTTAAATTATTTATTGGTGGGATATTATTCACTGAAAAATTATTTTGGTCTCAGATAGCATGATTGACGATGTATGTCTTGCTTACCAATGATGGATGTTTGTGGAACAGAAGGAGGTTTGTTTAATAAATATGTCTTATAGATGTAAATATGAAATTTATGTATTATATCATGAGATATATGGTTAGGTGCTCCATATAACTTATAATTATAATCCTTAGTTTATTATACATTTTGTCTGTTGGCTGGAAGGAGCCAAGCTCCTAATGGATATAATGAAATAAACCTTAAATTTATAGCTTACAGGATGTATGATGTGGTTTACATCCTGTGCCGATCACCCCTATTTTTAGGGCGTGACAAATTAGCAAGGAAAATATGATTCCTCACAAAATTTAGTGAGTTTTTTTAGCTATGAATTTAGTAAGAGATAAAATCCTTAGCTAAAATGCAATTTAGTTAGGAAAAAATGGCATTTAACTAGGGATTTATCCCTCGCTAAATTTCACTTTTCTAGTTGTGTATGAATATGGTTTGTATATGATTGTGTATCTCGATTAATCACTAAGATGGCACTTGGCTAGTTTGAGATCATGGTAATATGTGGATGCATATAGCCCTAAGTGTCACACCCCAAAAATAGAGGGTGACCGGCAAAGGATGTGATCCATCACACATCCCTTAAGCCTCGGATTTGGTTAACCTTTTCATAACTAAAAGATAATTATGTTTTAGTTTGAATTAGAACATACATAAATATTTTTGGTAGTAATAAAAGTCTCAATATTTTTGTAGAAATTTCGGCAGAATCTCCTCTGTAAATAAGATCTCCCGAAAATTCTACAAGACAATATTTCAACCAAAAATATCAAGCCAATCAGGAGTAGAGCTTCTTCCAGCCAATAGACAGAATATATAACCACATAAACAACCTGACCACAGACTATGTGGAGCACCTAACAATAAGTTTACAAAATAAAATTTCATAATTAAAACTTTACGTCAAGAGAAAGTTTAACCCTTAGCTCCTCCGCTTCTAATCAATCACAAACTCCTCAATGTTCAGTAGATGATTCAGCGTCAGCTACACTATCTGAGACCAAAAATTATTTTCCAGTGAATAACGTCCCAATAATAAATAATTAAATATGAATAAAAGGAAAATTAAAACATAATAATCTCCATGAAGATTTAAATAAATTCGGAATAAAAGGATCCTATGTAACTTTAACTAAAATCATAATTCATTAAAGTATCTTATCAAATGTCATTATCATTTAACTTTAATAAAGCAAATAATTGCAATAACTAATTATAAACATGTCATTAATCAAAACCAATGAAAATAGATCCATAAAAATTTAAAACTCATAAGTATAGAGACTTATCAGAACAAGTAACAAATGTGGACACACAGTCCACGAGAATAAATCACCAAACGCGGCTTATGCCACGAAAACAAACATGGACACAAAGTCCACAAGGGTAAATAACTAGACGTAGCCGAAGCCACGAAACAGACGTAGACACATAGTCCACGAGGGTAACTAACCAGACGTGGTCAAAGCCACGAAACAGACGTAGGTACAAGACCCACGAATAACAAACGTGAGAACAAAGCTCACGAAATCCAAACTAGCTAGTATTTGACCATGGCGCGCCAAGGGCTAACGAAACTGTCGTTAACAACCAGCGTTCTGTATACAGTCCCCTTTTAAATTCACTTTCAGACATGCGAGAAAATCATCACTTTCAAAATACTATTTCTCTTTTAAAAATCTAACTCGCATGAAACATATAAAAGCACCCATATTTCTAAATATAAAAATTCACAATTAATATCTCATAAACTGTTCACAATTTTTTTTTAATTAGCTTTATCAAATAAAGCACTACTAGAATTTAAGAAAGCATTTTCATCAATATAAAAAGTATAAGTCATGACTTCAAGAAGCAGAGCAATTTAATAAACAAAGTAGCTAAAGCAAGAGAAATTTATAAATATCCATAAATTATTAAAAGCGATCTTTTGATAAGTAAATATTTCCAATATATATTGATTGGGACGTTATCCACTTACCTGTGGTGTTCCCAAATTTTCAAAGATTTTCTCCCTTTTAGTTCCTATCAAAATCTTCTTCTTCCAAACCCCCTATAAGAATATAAGATAATGCAATTTAATTAAATTCCTATAATTACAAAGATTTCTTTCCAGTTCTCATTCGATTCCAAGATTAAATCATAAGGCAACACTATACTTTATAAATTAATAACCATAAAACTTTCAAGAATTCACTTAATCTCTCAATAAATTTCTTCACAATGTTTGATTCAAATTCACAAATGAGCAATACCCAAACCAATTCATGTTTCTTATGAGATCCAACAAAATTATAGAAAAATACCCAATCAAATATTTCCTTTTGTAAATTTCAAACTAAGTTCATAAGATAATAGCATTCCAACCAATTATGTTTTCCAAGTAATTTAATGAAATTTTTAATAATTATAATTTCAAACAAAAATCCCCTCATGGGTATTTAATCAAACACTTTATGAGCATTATAACTTAAACAAATACCACCTTCTTCCTCATCAATTTCACCTTCAAAGATTTCATAAGGTCAGTATTATAGCCAATAATTAGATCAAATTCAATTAAATCTCAAATCTACATCATCCTTTTCCTTTCTCTCTGTTTTTTTTTTAATTCAAGCCTCCCTTTATATTTGAACAAATAGCCATGAGTATCAACAAAACACAAAAGAAAAATTTTCCATTCAACTCTATAACCTCACACACTCACAGATTCCATAAAGAAAAGAAAAATCAAAGTTGCTCCCTTTAGATGCACCAACGTAACACAAATGGGCAGAAGAAAATGCAACCACAGCTGAACAGGGGAACAAAATAACAACATTAAACTAGCCTCCTACCCAAGAATCAATTCTCCCATAGCATCACACCAACCCTTCATTCATTTATCACTTACGAATGGGAAGGATGAAGGAAGAAGAAGAAACTTCAACAGCACAAACAGTGAAGAGAAGCGCAGAGATCGACGGCAGAGTGAAGAACTATGGATTCGTGACTGGGACTGCTAACAGTGGACGATCACAGCCCACGTTTGCAGCGCTGGCAACCTGACTCTCACGCACACCAACTACGCGCATGAGAACTGTGAAAACAGAGCAACAGTGGAGAAGACAAACAGAGACAGAGAAGAACGAGGAAGAACCTGGGCATCGCACAGCGACAGCGACCTCACGGCAACTCGTCTGCCTCGTCGGCGGCGGCAAGGAATGAAGAAGAAGGATCAGAGGTCGAGAATGGCAGAAGGTTCAGAGGTCGCACACAACTTCCAGATTTTTCTTTCCCTCTCTCTCTGATGCCCAACACAATTCCGCAAAGAGGAAGAAGAAAAAAGAAATTATATCTGATAGGCTGAGGACATTTTGGTAATTTAGAGGCTAAAAATAATGAAAATTAAAAAAAATAACTCCCAAATGCTTCAGCAGGTTCGAACTCTGGATCCCATATATAAATCACGTGCTCTCTTCCACTATACCAACCCTTCCTCTTGTCATAATTGCACCAAAATTAATATAACTACAACTAAATAAAACATATATATTTATTTTATTTTTTTTAAATTCTTGGGTTATTACACTAAGTGTCCAAAATTTTTGTTTGTTTCTAGATTAGAGTAAGACTAGAACCATTAGTTAGTTTATTCAATTATCTGTGTATAGACATTTAGATCACCGTAATTAGAGGTTCAAACTAAAAAAATTAGGTAACCCAAAAGTTAGATTTGATTGTGCTAACTATGAGTGTGCACTGTGGCAAAAGGCCTATTAGTCGTGGTGAATTGCTTCATTGGGGTTGGCCATGATGAGTGATCCCTATGTCATAAGCCAGAATGAATATACTTTTGGCTGTAATAAAAGTACCCATAATCATTGAAATGACTGTTTTGCCCTTTTTTTGACTTTTTTCAAAGCTCAAACTCTTTTGCCAAGTTTCCACAAACTTTTATACTCTAATTTTAAGTGTTTCAAGTTTTTATAAACTCATTAATCATTTTCAAATAATTTTGAGATCCCATTATTTTTAATATTTTCAAGATCAATTTCTAAATGACCTTAGCCAAGGTTGATCCTTAGGTTTTTTAATTTAATTATTTTGGGTTTAAAAAAGGTTAATGCCAGAGGTCATTATAACTAGCCTTGCACAACATATTCATTGCAACCAACTTTACATCCTCAGCCAATCTTGAATTCCAAGATCTATTATGGCTCAGTATATGTTTGCCGTGGTATGTTGTGCAGCCCTTTTTGCCATGGCTAACCCAAAAATGCTACTTCTGTCATGGCTAAACAACTTCCATTATAGTGGAAGTCTTATATCAAAACATATTTATGCAGCATTAATATTTCTAACTTCTAATTCACCTAATTAACCACTCAAACCTTCAATCAAGGTGATCCAAGCACTCTCATGTAGCGAATTAATAAATCTAACTTGTGGTCTCATTTATGACTCAATCCATTACCAAATGAAGATCATGAAATACTTTGGGAAAAACAAGCCTTTACTTCCCAAAGGTAGCTCACCTAAGTATCTCTCATCATAATTACATTTATCAAATACCATCTACAAGCATAATTCATTCATGCATGAACATGCCATGTCATTAATCTATAAGAGTAAGTAAAAAGATCTATCTGTTATACATATTTGCATATTAGGCCCTTTCCTAAAAATATAAGGTCACTACCCAAAAATGCCCAAGTCAACAATTATGACTCACATGCAAATGATCTATAGTTAAATAAGTTAAAATGATCCTAACTTGGCAAAACATAAATTCAATCCCACAATCAAGTACTAGAGAATTTACAATTGTAGACTCCATAGCTTGGCCTTGAAGGCTTCCCTTTTATTCTTTACCTTATTGTCTCCTATAAAGATATTAAGTAACAAGGTGGGATTAAATATTCTCAGCAACCAAGTAATTTAATCAAGTATATTAAAGCATGGCATCCACAACAGATAAACATTTAATATCACATAAGGCAAAACAAGCATTATTCACAATGCATCATTATAATGTATTTTATATGACTACATGCAACTGTCTTATACCACTCTTTATATCACTTGACCAAATCTATGGGCTATTATCTCAAATAGTCTAGCCCATATGATTAAACTAGCCCTTAGGATTTACCTGGTTAAAGGCTCCAACACTCACTCTTGGATCATGAATTCCCCCTACTCAAATTTTAAGGTGTCATAAGTGCCTGACCTATACCATCCCTTCTAGTAATCAATGATACTCAATATCATGCCTTGACCTATGCCATACTCAAAGGACTACTAGTAATACTAAGCAATTATATAATAGAATTTACCAACCACTATGCATGAACTCAATGGAGGCCACACTTTATGGATTTTTACCAATATAGCCTTCTATTAAACCAATGTGAACTCTCACCCATCATGATCATGCAAGTTCATTCAACAAATACAAAACAGTTCATGTTATGCATATCTCAATAATTCAACATTTTTATAACTCCAAGAACTTGCATGCTTATGAAAAATCATATTACAACGTTATTTGCAACAACTCCTATTAGGTTCACATTTCACATAATCATTACAAAGCCAATCTAGGCTCAACCATTTATGTTCCAATATCACATAACATCTATATAAATATAATTACCAATCACTTCATCAAAATAAGACATGCTTCATAATTAGGTAATAGTTTAAAATCAATAGATTCATCTGTAAAGTCATTTTACTCAATTCAAGCTATCCATAATAGTGCATAAAGTACAATGATTGACACAATGAAAGACATTATCGATGACTAATTGTCATTAATTAACCTCTAATCATGATTAGGGCCTTCTATTTTCCTTAAGCATGATTAACTATAACTAGCCCCAAAACTCATTTTCATTAGTTTATTTAACTTCTATTAAGGATATAAATCATTGTTAGCTACTCCTATTAATTTAAACTTGATTATTTAACATTAGGGTTAACTTTAAACCGTACCCTTCCTTAAGGTCATTTAATGCTGCCAACAACCAAAACCTTGATATAGAATCATTGAACAACTCCCATAGACTTCATTGAAGTCACTAAAGTGGCTATAACTTAAGCATAACTTTAGAAAGTACTTCCCTATCAGTAAAACTAGAAAAGAGACACAAAAAGAGGAGGAGAAAGAAAAAATAAGGCTTACCCCATGATTTATTAATTTCAAACCACTCCAAAATGCCTCCTATGTGAAATCCTAGCAAAGCACTACTCAAAACCTCATATTCTCATTTAAGGATTTCTCCCTTCTACCAACCCAAGCTACAGGATTGGGATTTAAATTTCACAATGTTTGCCATGATGGATGGCCCAAAATGGGCAATATCACTTAAACCCAAGAATCTAGGCCCCAAAATAGCTCATTAGCCTCTCTAACACCTTGTTAAGTCCCCTATATGGTCCATTGTCCAATAAATCCAAATGGCTATCCTAACTCTATAATTAACTTCTAATCACCCTAATTAACTAATTAAATCTCTTAATTAATTAATTTAACCATGGAATTAAAATTTTGGGATGTTACCCTTTACAAACTAAAAAGTGGTTCTTGAAACTTGAGAAAATATGATGAACTTGTGCAAATAACAAATAATTTTTCATCTGCTACATTTTTTTATAATAATATTTAAATATGTTTAATTAATAAGGATATAGTTGAAAAAATAAGATCTTTTAGCAAATAAAGAAACATAATAATTTTCTTAATCTACATAAAAAAAATGTCTCAAACACTTTACAAAAAGGATCGGAGATTTTAGGATTTATTTAAGCATGAATTTGAGTGTTTGTTGATTGTACGAGATATAGAGTAATTATTTGAAATAGACACTTACTTTGGGATTGAGAGTGCTCTGATTATAAATAAATTGGTCTCTAAGTAGAATAAATTATTACCAATAGGAAATAATTGAGATGGTCTTTTTATTTATTTAAGAAATACAAGCATTCTAAGTCCTTTTACAACATGATATTCCAAATTCAAATCTTGATTGCTAATTTCATGCACCAGTTGTTTTTAAATAAATGATAATTAAATATATGTACTTAATTTTGACATGCTCAATTTAAGAACATGCAAAGTCCATTAGTTAGTCATGTAATTGACAAATTCAAATAAGTCAACTGACGATATTTTTATCAGTACTATATCATACTTGTCACAGTCAATGCACTTTGAATGCGTTGCATGACAATAATAAGTAGTTTTGTTCTGTACATTGGCATTGGCGATAGCTTTGCAATTTATATCCGCTTTCAATTTATTTTCTGGCACTACTTAAAAAAAAAAAAATTTACATCGAATGTAACTAGAACCAATATAAAAAGTTCACTTTCTACACGAACTATTTCTACACGAGTTCTAGAACTAATATAAAATGTCAATTTTAACTAGTGTAAAAAGTTTTTCTGTTCAAAAAAAAATAGTGTAAAAAGTTTTTTGTTTTTTTTTATAGTAGTAGTGCAGTCTTCTCAAATATAGTCAATCACGTGTTCATACTCAAGCAAAAAAAAAAAATGAATTGATATGCACAAACATGTACAAAATCAAGTAGAAGAATCAAAGTTTAACAAGACATATATATAGGATCATAAAATACATTTATATAATTCTCTATATAGGCAAATTTATCGAGCACTGATTGTAGTAGTTGAAACAGTGTTTATTGAAGCCTCTCTAGATGTTGAATACTCTGAATGCTCTTTATTAGAATCGAATAAGAATGCAGGCTTTCGAGGTGAGGGAATGGTTACTTCATTTCCAAGCATGAAAACAACTTCCAACATGGATGGCCTATAGAAAGCACTTTCTTGAACACACAAGAGCCCAATTTGTACACACCTTAGGGCTACATCAAGAGGATATGATTCACCAAGTGTTGAATCCACTATTTCCAAGGGCCTTCCTTCTCTCCACATGTCCCATACCTACAAATTAAACACAATTAATTATAAGAAAAATGGGATCAAGTTCGACAAAGAAAATTCCAAGGCTTTCAAGGTTTAAATGAGAGGACATGGAAAAGATGAACCATTGTTCAAATTTCTTTCCCTACTGTAGGTTAATTTCTTAGTCTTACCTGTCCAATCAAATTTAGGGTTTCTTTTTCTTTATCGCAGTCTGTATTCCTCTTGCCACTAATAATCTCTAATAATAGAATACCAAAGCTGAAAACATCAGATTTTGTTGAATACTGTCCTACCATTGCATATTCTGGAGCCATATAACCACTGCATGCAATAAAAAAAAATAGTTACAACATTGTTGTAAAACTCAATCATTTTTAGAATATATGAAACATTTTGTTCTTACTATGTCCCAACAATTCGTCTAGTTTTTGCTTGGATTTGGTTCTCTCCAAATATTCTAGCCATGCCAAAATCTGAAATTTTGGGATTCATTGTTGCATCTAAGAGAACATTGCTAGGCTTAAGGTCTCTATGGATTATTTTTAGTCTTGAATCTTGATGGAGATAGAGAAGACCACGAGCAATTCCAAATATAATATGGAAACGTATGTCCCAATCTAATGACATTCTTTGATTGCCATCTGCAGTAAAACACAAAAACTATAAGATTTGTTTATTTATGTACGAAATGATGTTTTAATTAATATATATCTGATCTTATCAAGCTAACTAGTACCACATTGAAATTACATACAACTCTTATAATTTTGGGAAAAAAAAATCAAGTAAAAAGGTATCTCAATATTTATTGGTTACACATGAATAGTTATGCCATTGATGCATGTTCAACACGAATACTTTGAGCCATTTCAATGTACTGGCTCAATGCATTTACTTAGTTTTTTGAAGAATATTTGACAAATCATATGTATATATGTATGCTCATATTTGATGAATCGACAAATTAAGAATGTATTTTTTTGAGGTATGCAAGTTAATAGTGCGTGATATTTGAAGTTATGCAATATTAGTTTAGAGAAATAGGAGGAGAATAATGAAACATACCAAAGAGAAATAAGTTCAAGCTTTTGTTGGGAAGGTACTCATAGATCAACATCCTTTCTTCTTTATGAATGCAATATCCAAGCAACTTCACAAGATTCCTATGTTGCAGTTTGGCAATTAGTTTGATTTCATTCTTGAACTCTTGAGTCCCTTGTCCAGAATCTTGGGACAATCTTTTCACTGCTATCTCTTGTCCATTAACTAATATTCCCTGAGATATCAAAGTACTTACATGATTTTCAAATATATAATCTAAAATTATACCTAACAAGGTAATAGATGAAAAGTCCTACATCTAATAATTAAAAAAATTAGAAATATGTAAATATTAGAATATGTCTAATCAAATGATTTAAGCTATTTTGTAAAGTAAACAATCCTTAAGTACACTTAATTAATACAAAAAACTTGAATCGGTATTAGAGCTAGTCGATCTGGGACAAAAAACTAAGGAAAAAATGAAAATAAAAAATAATGAAAGATGAAGAAGAAAAAAGAGATTTAAATAATAGACAGAGAATAATTAAAAAGCACTAGATCTGAAGCCTATGAAATTAAAAAAAGTATGAGCACATACAAGAATAAGAAAAGACAATATAGGAGAGGACACTCAATGCAAAAACTTGATACAAGGTCCCTATTATGGTCCTATTCATTGGTGTGATTGTTAATTGATTTTCTTTTATTTTAGGAAAATGACATTTAGATCCAAAAAATAAAAGATTCGTTTAATAACAGTTAGGAGATTATCTAAAATTTATAGTTGAAATAAGTTGCCAATATCAATCTAGACATTCGTGAATGTGAGAATCTTAATCGCAAATAAAATATTTAACTCTCACAGATCACTTATAATGATTGCAAGTGAGACTTCTAATTAAGATGCTCATTTCAACTGGGAACTATATATATCATTAACCCTTTATTTTAAACAAGTGTGTTGTTTTGTTTTGTTTTGGTTTTTTTTTTTTAATTCACTCATGGTTAAAAAAATAGTTGTTTTCCCACGCAAAAGCACATGGTCAACCCCATTTATATATAAACATCGCAGACAGCCAATTGCATAGTAAGGAGATTCTTGGACATTTCACTTACCTTGTACACAGAACCAAATCCACCTTGCCCTAATTGATTCTCATCTGAGAAATTGTTTGTTGCAGCCATTATGCTTTTGATGCTGAAAAATGGTAAGCTTGTTTGCTCTCTGTTTTCACCATTCTGCTCTTCTGTTGGGGAATTGAATTTCAATTCTTGTTCGATTGTTTCATCTGGAATTTGCAAAAACAAGAGGGTGAAATAATTTTAAAAAATATAGAACAAGTAATATCATGAAAAGACAAACATGTATATTCTTTATGACCCTAAAACGTCACGACCAGTGCTTTAAAAATTAGATTGTTAAATCACTATGCCAGAATAAGCTTGGTTGTTCTCTATTTTCGCACAATGCTCCTCCTGCATTTTTGCTATTTTAGTTAAGGAAAAATTAACCTATAATAAGTTCTTATAGTTTCTCTCACTTTTGAATTAAATCCATAGAGTATATTTTATTTTAATTAAGGCCTTACAGTTTGGTCCTTTAGATATGTTAATCCCTCGAATTTTAAAACAAAAATTCAAGTATTTCAATCTCTAGGGATTAATAAATCTTAAAGGTCAAACTTAAAAAGTTTGATTAAAGTAAAATAAACTACATGAACCTAATTTAAAATTAAAAAAGATTAGAAAGATCTAAAGATTAATTTTTCATAAAGTTAATCATCATATACTTTTGAGTAGAAAATATAATAATAACCATATATATCCTTAACAAAGTGTAACTTTTGTTAGATCCATTCGATTGGTGATGGGAAATAAAGAGGCAAAATGGAATTCTTAGGTGTATCAGAGCCGACATCTAAATCAATGATAGCCTTATAAAGCCAAGTAGTGCATTACTTTCGTCCATAAATAATCTTCAACATTGATTAATAATGACAAGTAGACATAAGACGTTTAGACATCTAACATCTACACACGTACGAAACCTGGACAACTGGCAATAACTTGTCCAAATGCTGACCACACAAAATAATAGAACTCAACAAATATAACAACTTGTATTTCCTATCATAGCTGTCCTCCTCATTAGACTATAGTCAGCTAACAATACATGGTCGAATGCAATGAACTTTGGCAATTTCCTTAATGTCACCAATGCTATAGAGACTATTTTTTAACTTGTTTTGGAATAAAATGAGTCGATGACTCACAACTTGTGAACAATACAAATCCCTCTCTTTCTCTCTCCATATATATATATATATATATATATAGTTGACGCTGAAGAGCATCTTCTCACTGTCTATTTTAATTAGGAATAATAAGTCTCGTTCACTGAACGATAATTCATGGCTGGTAACAACAAGCAACAACAAAAAAGACGATGAAAAGCATTGAAGAAGATTAGAAGAAACAATGTGGAAGACGAGCCAAACGAGAATATATAACGAAGGACAACGATTGGAGAAACATATCATATATATGTATGTATATTGTGTATAGGGAGTTCAGAGTCTGATAAATTAATGAAAGGCGTTAATACTAAGCAATAGAACATCCAAATTACAAACTATAAGACATCAAGAAAAGGAAGTGAAATACGCACCTCTTGATATTTTGTTACGAAAACAGCACACAGATAAGACAGTCAAAATAGAAATCAATGCGACACAAGCCACTGCAAGTCCCAGTCTCTCTGACATAGCAAGTGATCCTTTTGATTTCCTGGTATATTTTGCTGAGAAAAATAGGAAGAAAGAAAGACTTAAAGTGATCATTAAAGAAAATCAAAAAACAGAGGAAATTAAAGCGTACATATATATAAAGAAAATTAAAATAAAGAAAAGGATTGCAAGGACGTACCAAGTTCAATAGAATCAACCCGAACAAATATGTCTTGCCCTTCATGACTTAATATCTGTGTGTCGATCAAAGTCCCATGCCACGTCAAGCATCCCCTTCCACCATTTCTCACATCTGCAGAAGCATAAGCACTACAAGAACAGTTTCTCAAGCACTCTTTTTCACATTCTTCCAAACTCGTGATCTCCATATTAGCATTCGCTATAGATGTATCAGGAATCTTCACATTTTCAACTCTAACAAATCCTTCTCCATTATTCCCACACAACGATGGTCCTTTCTTCCTCACACAACCTTCTGTTGCATCAGTATGTTGATACCAGTTCGTTGGATTCTTAGGTTCAAACCCAGGTAAGCAAGAACACTTGAAATTTGCATAGTTAAGAGGATCACAATTGCTGTTAGCACCACAGGTTCCATAGTTGTCACAATCCACTTCTGGCCCAGAATAGTATCGATTCCATTGTTTCTTATTAAAATCCCATAGGAAAGCTTGAAAGAATCCAGATTGAATAACCCCCACACGCAATATGACCTTTTTGTCAAAGGAGTGAAATACAACCCCAATCTCATTATCATCATCAGTAATAGCAACGTTAAAATAAGTGGTCATTGCTCGTTTCATAAATGGGATTCCTATGAACATTTCGCCATTGAAGGAACCTGCTCGCCACCAAGGTGCGTCATTGTTGTACAGGAATAACTGAGATTTCCCACTTGTATTAAACCTGATAGAAAAGTTTCCTGATCCAGGATCATCATCTGTCTTCCATGACCGCAAGAACCAGCTCTGACCAGTTCTTTTGTTGACTCCCAATTTGGCAAATGGAAGCAACGTATCAGTGGGATGATCAAAGCTCTGCCATAAAACAGTCTTGGAGTGATTGTCAGTCAAAACAAAATTACCTGAATCTGTGAGTTGAGCCATGGCTACTGTATTTGGAACAGTGACAGAAACATTCGTTGACCAGATGGGTTTGTCGGAGTGATTGTGATGGAGAATTAGGTTTCCATCAGAGCTGATGGAGAGAATTCCTGAGGTGTCATTCATGGGATCGTCTCTGTTTGCAACCCAAACGACAGTGCGCTCTTGCAAATTATAGTACCAAATTCCAACATAGCGATAGCTCGATTTGCCTGGAGTGAAGAACCCAAGAGCAAAAATGTTTTCTTTAGAAATCAGAAGCTCACCATCGCTTATGGGTTTGTCAATTGTTATGGTGTCAGACAACAAAGCTGCACAAAACAAGAAGCAGTGATGGATTGTAACAGACAAAATAACTATCGTCCCATTTGCTATCTTCATTATCTCGTGACTTGTCTCATAGATAATAAATTGATGAAGGCATACAAGATTTCAGTTCAAAGAAGTGATTAGAACTGCCAGTGCTGATATAAATTTGGTCTTGCGACCAGCAATGATTATTCTGAAGTAGGAAAGCAAGGAAGATAACTGTAGCAACCAGTGTTGTACACACATTATAAAAGACAAATTAAATGATGAATGAGTAGATAAGTCTGGACAATATATCAGCCAGTATAAAATTCCATGCCTGATGAGCTGTTGGCCAATAAGTTATTTGTTTTGCTGGAGTATGGAAACTTCAATTGACTTTTGAGGTATCAGGTCGCGGCCAGCGGAAGAATAGGAAACACGCGGAAGCGGGGGCATAACCGAACCAGTTGCTCATTAGTAAAGATGAGCACTGCTGAGAGCTTATTATTGTTTAGACCGTTAAAATTTAATATGGATATCCCAGATTTACACCTTTTTCTTTTTATTTTATTTTTAAAAATACTTTACCGGATACAAAATTTAAAATAAAGATAATATTTTAATTGTCAATTTTTCAAAAAAAATAATGTTATTTAAAAATGCACCTGTTGAAAATTGTAAATTTGGATCATGAAAATTAGATCTGCATAATTCAAAGGCAATGAACTCTCAGTGCTCATATATATGATAAACACTGAAACTAGTGTTGGGCTGTAACAATGAGGGGCCAAAATTAAAAAGTACATATGCTATAAAAAAATTTTGTGATTTTTGGATGGTTGGAAATATATAATATCTATATAATATTCCCCCTTTCATTCTATTTTATAAGATATTTTTGGATGTGATTTGATGTTCTAAAATGTAAGACATTTTTTTAAAAAATAAAATTTTATTAATAATGATTATTTCAATATTATCCATTGTTAGGAAACAAGAGAGAGAACAAATAGGCAAGAGCAATGGAATGACACTATATCTTAACTCAAAATCTCAAAGTTTAAGCTTATCATATTCCTCTAGTCCTATTTATAAAATAAATAAATATATTTGTTTTGGTCCCATTTATAAAGTTTACCTTTTTGCCTTGATTAAATATTGAGAACGTTATTAAATACTATAATATTTATCTTATAAAAAAATATGACAATATTTTATTTAAAATTATATATTTAATAGGAGTAAATTTAAAAACTTGTTAAATTTTTGAATATAATTAATAAGGTTTAAAATTTGTCTTAGCTTTACAGTAAAAATGCTGGGAATGACTTATTAATAAAACTAGAGAAAGTGTATTTGCTATTAATTAAGTCTTACATTGACTTAATTCCACTTACACCTGAACAAACTAATATCTCTCATTATTTTATTTCTTAAATAAACGTTATTCCCTCTCTCGTGTTAATGAAGATTATTTCTCGAAGTTTATAAGAAATTAAAATTTTAAACTGTATTTAATAAAATTTATTTATATATATAATTTTGCTGAAAAATACTTTAATTGTGATGAAGGAATTACTATGAAATTTTAAGAAATGTGGACCGTTATTCCTACCGTAGTGCCCCACCTATCACGCCTGCTTGAAATTAATTAGAATGTAGTAAACGATTTTTCAACTTTCACGTCTTCCCTCGAAGTGATACATTTTAATACTCTCTTCGTTTTAAATTATAATATATTTTTAAAAAATATTTAATATTTTAAAATATAAAACGTCGAAAAAATTAAAGTTTTATTAAATAAATTTATTTTAATATTATCTTTTTTTATAATTAATTTTTAACTTTTTAATATATTAAATAATAAATATTTTTACAAAATTTATATTTTTATTTTAAAAAAAATAAAATTATTAAATATATTTAATAAAATTTATTAATACATAAAATTTTATTTAAAAATATTTTATGATTTCAAGGAAGGTTCTAGCCTTAAATAATTCTTTTAATGTGGATGATAAAACAATTATTCTTGAATTCAACATGGATGGATCAGATTCTACAGTGATAAGACTACATTCTCTGCACATTCATTGAATGATGTCAGCTGCTCAAAAATTCTTCCCATACCTAATCTTGTAATTATGTTAAGCTAACGATCCTAAATGTTACACATGACAAGCACTCTCTCATGTGCACTGAATATGTAGTTTTTCTACCTAAATTCAATGCATGCATATGTAATATTCATTTTCCGTCTTGATCATCCATATCTGATATGGATCTTAATTCAACAATTTGAATCGTGTTGGATATTTTCGATTCTAATAATCTCATCCAAAAATGATTAGAATTTAGAATAGAAACATTCTTGTGACCATTAATTCTAAAAATAATTACTCCCTCCATTCAAAAATATAAGACATTTTTAACCAAATCTCACTCTTAATAAAGCAGTTATATACTTTCAAACTAATCAAATCTTTTTATATTTATCCCTATTAAACACCCTACAATAAATATAAAGTCATTATCAATAGAGGCACTTTTAAAAAAAAAAATGATACACCTTAAAAGACTAAAAATGTCTTATATTTTTTTAACATCCAACTCCTTAAAAAATACTTTATATTTTTTAATGAAGTGAGTAATTCTTAAATGACTCACATCAAACATAAGTGATATTCCAAAGAGATACATATAACATGCTCAATTGTCTGCTTTGGTATGAACCTTGCAGGGGTGGATGCAGAGGTGGGGGAGAAATTAAAAAAATATATAAAAACAAATATTATTTAATATTAAATGGTAAATGATACTCTCTCCATCTCAAATTATGAGAAACTTTTAAATAAAATTACACATACTAATAAAAATTATTAAATATACTTTATAACCTTATTTTTTAAAACAAAAATACAAATATTTAAAATACCCTTTATTTGATACTCAATTTGTTAAAAAAATATTAAGAAGAGAGAACAGACATATATGAAAAAGATAATATTGAAAAAAAATATCATTTATGAAATCTTATTTTTATTAAAGTATCTTATATTTTGGGACGTTAAATTTTTTTAAAAATATCTTATAATTTAATATAAAAGTAGTATCATACAAATATTTATAATTTATATAGATACCGTGCACACTAGTATATAACTTGTTGATGCTTTGTGAGGTTGTGTGAACAATCAGACAATTGAGGATTCCTGCTTGAAATGGTCTGATGATTTGTCCTTGAAGGGTTACTGGTAAACTAACTGATTCTTTTTCCACCTTACTAAGCCATTAGTTTCCAATTAAAGACATTTAATTATTGAAAGATCACTTGGAGACGACTTCATTTCCCAAGTGGATACTACCTGGTTTCCACAAGTTGTTTACCTAAAATTCACAGCTTACTCTGTTATTTCAATAATTCAATTGTAAGAAAAAGAAAAATTTATTTTAATTTCGCAAGTTCTTAATGGACTACTAAAATCGTGCACAATCACTTGCGATCTGCAGGGTCGAATCCAAAGCACACTTCAATGATCCTTCAAAAAAAAATTTTGAACTATTACTTGTTAAAATAAACAAAGAAAAAAAATACTCCCTCTAATCCAAAATATAAGTATTTCCTCTTAGTTAATATTGGTTCAAAACAAAAGCAACCTAATACATGTAAAAAAAATCCCTTTTACCCGTTATATTTATTAATCTAGATGTTTATATGAATATATCTTTTACTCATCATAGAATGCATTAATAATTCAGAGTAGGAATAAAAAGGGAAAACAATATATAACTTTATGAGAATGAAGACTTTATTGATATGCAGATTTTTTTCAAAAACTGCTTATATTTTGAACTAGATGAAATATTAAAATAGATTTTGGCCTTCCATCATTTCATGTTTTATTTTTAATTTGTCCCCCATTCATTAGTTCCTGGATTCTTTATCCCTACCTATGAATTTTAGGTGAACCACATGGAAAAACCAAGTAATTCACTTGGAAATGGAGTTATCTCCTGGCAGAAGTTTTAATGAAATTTCAATAATTAGATGTTTTGTGTTGAAATTAATGGCTTGATAGGATTATTAATTGTCATTTTTTTCAAATTAATAACCATTAGAAGATCCAAGATATTTTGTAGTGTCGGATTTACTCAGATGACTGATTGTCAAATGTGAGAATTTGAAATTTGACAAATTGAGTCTCAAAACATCAGATCTCTGGTGCAAATTAAAGCAATAAATTCAAGTTTTCCGTTGGGTGAAAAGCGTTTAATTTACCGCAATCAACATCACCCAACACTGTTGGAAACATAATGACATTATAATTTTATAATATTTACAGTTGTGGAGAATGACTACACAACAGTAAGTCATGATTTAATTTAAGAAAAAGGGTTAGTGGTATGAAATTTCAAAGTTTGATTCCATCTTCTCTCCTTTGTCGGTGTGTGAGTGGTGGCATAACTGTTCATAATTTGTCTCACCAACCCCCTAGTCAACAGATCAAAAGGGTTTTGTTGGTTTCTGGTGAACTTTTATCTTAAATATTATCAATCTAACACAACATGATATTCCTTGAAACCACGTTATATAAAATATTTTTTAGAAGTTTTATTTAATTTAAAATATAAAATATATAATTTTTATAATTATTTTCTTAACAATACTCCTATTTCATATATCATTTTTTTTTGAAAAATGATATTCTCTTCACTTCAATTAATAAGACATTTTTAAAAAAAATTAATATCTTTAAATATAAGACACTTTGACAAATTAATTATGCTTTTTTTATATTACATTTTCTATATATTCTCTCTATTTAATATTCTTTCATAAATGAAGTATTAAATGAAGAGAATTTTTAAAAAATTTATTTTTATTTAGAAAAATTAAAGTTGTAAAGTGTATTTAATAAGCTTTATTGATATATGCAATTTATCTAAAAATGTCTTACAAAATTGGGATGAAGGAAGTATATTAAAATTTCAATTGATATTATCAATATTATTAATAAGGTATAATTGGAAAAAAATATAAAATATTTTAAGAAATTAAAGTTTTAACTAAATTTTTTTAAAAGCATAAATTAGTTATTAATACTCTATATTTTGACCAGGATGAGTACATGGGAATATGGTACAATGCCAAGGTCAAGGAGAAAAATCCTGACAGTTATTCCAGTTACATATTATGGGAATATGGTACAAGTATATCCCAAAGCTTATTGTTATTATTGTTTGGGTTGCAAATTGGGAATCCACTTATATTGTACTTCACAATTGGTAAGCTTGTATTTTTCTTCTAAGTTATATGGTCTACAAACTCAGCCAGATCAGTAAGAAGACAAATTAAAGACTAACTTGGTTAATTTATAGTGATATAAAGGTGTAAATCTACCTACAAAGTATTCTAGGAGTAGTTACTTACATCCTTAATTAATTCAAGTAAAGTGAAATTTGACTCAGAAATCCTAAAATGTGCGCAAAAATCCTCAATCCTTAATGGAGACCAAATATTTATTAAGGGTTGTTGGTCCACCTTCTATGCCACGTGTGAATGGGGTTGTAGAAAATACTATGATATAATCGTGTCGCCTATGTATCAATCTTAAAAGACAGTGCAAAAATTCTCAATTGTCCATTGATCGTGAATATAAAAAAATATTGATGCTTGAAAAAACACAATTATTAGTCTATATAGTTTTATCGTGTTTTGTTATTAATTCTTATATTTTGTTTTTGTTACTCTAAGTCCCTATAGTTTTTTTCAATTGTAACATTAGTCTGTATTTAAATATGCCTAGAGGGATGATTATGTGTACTAGTAGAATTAAATTATCTGATGTGTAATTAATGATGTTAAATTGAATATTAAAACAAAAAAAAGACAGAGCAGTTACAAAATCCAAAGTAATAAAGATATCAACTGGAATAAACTCTGGAATAAACTTAAGACTACACTCGATACTACACAAAAACAAGATAAATTAGAATATCAACATTTACCAAAAAAATAAGTAATGGCTTCAAAATAAGAAAATTAAAATAAAATAGAGTATCTTGTTGTAGTGAACAAAACTATAGCAGAGGTTAAGAGATGAGTTCCTCCATTTGACATGCAGTGAAAGATGTTAGTTGCACATCATATAGTTTAATACTATTAACACTACATCATCATTTCTCTCATCATATTTAAAAATAGAGGAACTAATATTATAAATGAAAGAAACTATAGGGATCTGGAGCAACAAAAAAAGTACAAAAACTAATAACAAAACACAATAAAACTATAAGAATTAATAGTTATGTTTTTCTTTATATATATATATATATTATAGTAGAAGGAGTAGGCTCCCTTGAGTCTGGAGATTATCTTATTTGACTCGAAGTACAAATGCAAAAATATATGCATGTGTTCAAATTCATTCTAATTGGCAGAAATTAATTCTAGGTACAACATTTTATTTTGTCACACATCATGGTCACAAACATTCAAAACCTGGTTGGAAGCTACAATAATTAAATATTCTAAAATAGTAATGCTCAGTGTTTTTAACCCCGAACTGGCCCTGATGGTCAGACTGTCACCTAAAGAAGAAACTCATTTGGTTCAACCATTTGGCTCACTGTGACATTTGACCTAAATTAGCCCACTTTAACTGAAGCAGTTCTTGAAGACTTGGAGAGTAACTCAGGCCGAACTCAATACAGTTGAACTATTTTGACCCATTTTTATTTAAATATTATTTTTTATTTAATTATGTCATTGATTCGATCATCAGTCTAACTTGTTAAACCGTGAGACTTTTGGTTCATCATCTGGTCAGTTAATGCTAAAAAGGAAGCTGTTGTATCAACTAGTGTTGTTGTTGTTATATAAGACAAATTAAATGATGAATATGCGGATAAGTTTGGACAATATATCGGTTCGCCAGAAATTCCTTGCAAGAGCATCTTCCCAGCAAGAAGTTTTAAGTGAATTTTGACTTTTTGAAGTATCAGGTCGCAGCAACCGGAATGATTAGAAATTGGTGGTATCTAGTGAATCATTTTTCAACTCATAAGTCTGCCACCAAAGAGATTGATCTCGTTTTCTGATTATAAAGTTTAATAAGAACCACTTTAAATTCAACAAGGGTGGGTCAGGTTAATTAGTGATCAACATGAAATTTGGGCTGTTGAGTGAACGGTTTTGTATTGATGACACAGACATATACTATTTAAGCCTCATATAATCAATTTTCCTCCATTTTATATTATGCTCGGAGAAGAAAGAATTCGAATTTGGATTTGAACAAAATCAACTATTTGAAAACATAAAATTTTATGAATTTCGATTTTTGATCCAAATACAAGCAATTTTTTTTATTACAATTTCATTAGAATTTTAAATATCTTTTTTTATCAACAGAATTTATAATATCCAATCTACCCTAATTATTTCAAATATCAACCATTCTCTTTCATACCCTCCAACATGTAAACAAGTCACACATGGAGGGTGTGAATTTTTATATACTATCTTAAAAAAGATTTTAAGTACATAGATTTTAAATGTGAAATTTTAAATGTAAAATTCTAATTTAAATTTATCTATTCAAGCGCCATGTAAAGATGAATGAAAAACTCAAAGCAAGCAATACTGTAACAAAATCTTCAACATAGAAAAGGATTTAGCGAGATCAAAAACATTAAAATATATGAAATTTTCAATTGCTTTAAATATACAAAACTCTTTCTTTTTTCCTTTTAAACATTTGTAAATTACACAAGTTGATACAAAATCAAGGAGGCCATAATCTAAGTATAACAAGACCTAGGTCCAAAAATACATTTCTACTATCTTCCAGAATAACTCATGTTTATCGAGCACTGATTGTAGTAGTAGTAACATTGTTTACCGAAGGATCTCCAGATGCTGAAGATTCTGGAAACTCTGTGTTAGAATTGAATAGGAATGCAGGCCTTCGAGGCAAGGGAAGGGAAACTTCATTGCCAAGCATGAAAATTACTTCTGACATGGAAGGCCTATAAGAGGCTTTTTCTTGCACACACAAGAGCCCAATATGTATACATCGTAATGCTATGTCAATTGGATAATCTTCTCCAAGTAATGAATCAACTATTTCCAAGGATTTTTCTTCTCTCCACATCTCCCATACCTACAAATTAATGCAATATCATTTAATTTGATTAATTGGGAAAAGAATAAAAGACCCACCAAAACTCTGCAAGCCATTTATAAAGCTTCTAAATTAAATGACAGGAAATGGAAAAGATCAATGGTTGTGTGTGATTTTATTCTCTTTTAGCTTTAGTCTTACTTGTCCAATTAAATTTAAGGGTTCCCTTCCTTTATCGTGGTCTGTATTTCTTTTGCCGCTGATAATCTCTAACAATAGAATACCGAAGCTGAAAACATCAGACTTTGTTGAATATTGTCCTTCCATTGCATATTCTGGAGACATGTAACCACTGTAATAGGAAAAATAGTTATAATATAAGATTGTTATTGTGAAAGTCAAGTAATGATTTTATTAAAAGTATGTGCAAGAGTTTTGTTCTTACTATGTCCCAACAATTCTTCGTGTTCTTGCTTGGATTTGATCCTCCTCAAATATTCTAGCCATGCCAAAATCTGAAATTTTGGGATTCATTGCAACATCTAAAAGGACATTGCTAGCTTTAAGGTCCCTATGAATTATTTTCAGCCTCGAATTTGATGAAGGTAGAGAATACCTCGAGCAATTCCAATGATGATATGAAAACGTGTATCCCAATCTAATGATGACCTTCTATTCCTATCTATAATAACCTCAATCAATAACTTCTTAACATGGACAATGTTGGAAACGTTATCTTATATGATAAACACGTAGTAATTAAATAGGGAAATCTTGTTTTGAAGGGCCAAATTAAAGACAGATTTTAATTATATTAAGGGCCAAATGTAAGATCCCTAAAATTGAGCAAACAATCGCAAAATCGGCGAGAAAAGAGAAGGAGAAGGACACGTACCAAAGAGAAAGAAGTCCAAGCTTTTATTGGGTAGGTATTCATATATCAACATTCTTTCTCTTTTATGAATGCAATAACCAAGCAACTTTACAAGATTCCTGTGTTGTAGTTTTCCAATTACTTTGATTTCATTCTTGAACTCTTGAGTCCCTTGTCTAGAACCTTGAGACAATCTTTTCACTGCTATCTCTTGTCCATTAACTAATAAGCCCTGAAACACACAAGCTAGCTAACGCATCATACACCATTTCACTAAACTATCTGCATTCAACATTTGAAAATAAAGCATTCCAACTATTGGCTTCAACATTTTACTGAATTATTATTTCACATACATCCCAACAAAATTGAATTAAAATTTAGGGTTAAATGGCATTTTTTGCCCATTAACTATTGGCTTAGAATCGTCTATTACATATGGTGCAATTTTCCCCTTCAATATTTGAAAATAATGTGGTAAGCACCTTGTCACTAAGAGTTAACTTTGACTATTAGTTGATATAGAAAATTACAGAAAATGACCTCAAAAATTATATGAACCCATAAAATTTCAAATAAATATCTTATGAAAAAAAAATTAATATCGATTAAATCCCTAAAATAATGTGATAATTTATAAGTCTTCCTCTGAAATTTATAATTCATCCTTGAAAAGTTTATAGCTAGTGTGAAAAACCCATTTGGTTTCATAATTTAGGATACTGAGTTGGTATTAATTTTTTATAAAGTACATATGTGTAATTTTTTGAGTCATTTTCTATTATTTTTGAAGTCTATTTCTATAATTTTTAAGTTAATTAACTGTTAAAATTAATTTTTTTTAATGGCAAGGTGCTCAAGGCACCATTTTTAAATACTAAAGGGGGAAATTGCACCGCCACATGTAAGTTTATGATACTGAATATTCCTAATGAGAGAATAGTTGAGGAATGAAAATGCCTTTTAATTTTAATCAAGGGAAGTAATTCCCAGTCTAGTGCATACTAAGGGAGTTTTAAACGTTTCACCTACCTTGTACACAGATCCAAATCCACCTTGCCCCAGTCGATTCTCATCCGAGAATTTTTGTGTTGCAATCATTATTGTTTTAATACTGAAAAATGGCAAGCTTGGTTGTGCTCTATTTTCACCATGGTCCTCCTCTTCTGTTGGGGAATCTATTTTCATTTGTTCTTCAGTTATTTCACCGCCTAGGCCTAAAAAAAAATGAGAGGGTAGAATAACACTAAGAAAATTTGAATAATACTAACAAGAGAACAAAAACATACTCTAAAACCAGTGTTTTCAAAATCAGATAAAGGTTTGATGTATTTTCACTTTTGTTTGTATGAGTTTCTTGTTTAGTAATATACTCCATTTTCTTTTAAAAAAATCAGATAAAAAAGTTAGCCACACCTAAAGCTAGCTAGATGGTAAGGATAGACTAGGATGTGAATAAATAAAAAGGTTTTAACTTCCTATATAACAAATATAAAATAAAATAAAATCAAGTCATTGAATCACATTGAAGAGTAGTTCACATGACAATAGTTCAATGAAGAGTTGAATATTGAGATACAATTTTTAAAACGTAATTTAAAAAATGTTAGTTCATATACTTCAGGGACCTGCCCACGTTATGCCTAGTGCAGGTAATTGCCCCCATTAGCCAAGAGAAAATTATGCAAGATGACCCTAAAAATTTTAATTGTCCCCTTTAAAAAATTTCAATTGCCCCCGTCATCCCAAGAATATTCACTTGTCTCCTTAAAATTTTTTACTTATTTCACCAAAAATTTTATAACTTAAAATCTTATCTATGTACTATATCTTAAATAGGAATAGTATTAAATAATGTTTTCAAAATCAAACTGAATATTGAACTAAAAAGGTCAGCAGTTTACAATTCATATGTTCCATCCGGGTTGGACTAATAGTTGAATCGGTGACGTAATAATTAAATTAAAAAAATTATATATATATACACACATATATATAATAATCTAAATATAAGAAATAAATATGAAATTTCTAGTTAGCTTAAAAATAAAACCAAATAGTTTATGTTTATTATGATTTAACAAGCCATATGATATAACATAATATCAAATAATTAAAAAGTCATCATTTTCTTAAAAAATTAAAAAGAAAAAGGGTATTTTTTGAATAGTCTAATTTTTAAAAACTGGACCCGATTCCTGGCTTGATCTCAATTCCTGATTCGATCGCTAGTCCAAAGTGGCCCAGCTCCTTAGATAGTCTTTTCGACTTAACCAAGCCGTTAGTTTGACTAGTCAATGGTTCGACCAGTCTGACCATCTAATTCAACTGATCTAATTATTTGATTTTTTAATCATTGGTTAAAATAGAAAAGTCATAATTTAAAAAAATATTTTTTTATGGAAAATTTTATCACAAATTAATTCTCTTCTATACAAAAGACATATATATTTAATTTAATAAAAATAAAAAACATGAAACTAATAGACAAAAAAAGTTTTTTATATAAAGATAATTTTTTATGCATTTTTTTATTATTTAATTTTATTAAATTATACCTTTAATATAATTTCATAAGTAATTAAATATATATATTTATATATTTTAATAAAATATTAGTATTTATTTTAAGTAAATTATGCCCTACTGACGTATTTTTCTGGATCCGTCACTAATAGAGTTCATATGTTATATACATATACATACACAAATACAAAGATAAGTTTCGTGGGTTTAAAGGGAAATAGCAACGCGTAGTGGCTTAATGACAAATATGGGCCTTGTGAAATCCAAATACCAGAAAGATCACACTAATTAATCATTCATTATTTTTCCACTAATTTCCCTAAATTCACTTTATATATATATATATATATATATATTAATATTAGGTAATTTGAATGATAGAGCACAATGGCGTCTTGCAATCCATGTAGCCGACCCACCTAGTGGGATAAAGGCTTGTTGTTGTTGTTGTAGGTAATTTGAGCTAAGTCTAATAGACTAGTCCGAATGAGCTAAAAAATTCTCTGGCTAACTTAAGAGTTTAAATTTATTTTTTTTTTACTTTAAACTTATTTGAGTCACCTAAATAAGCTTGAAAACATTCAAGCCCAAACTCAAATGGCTTAGTTTGAATACTCAAATTTTTTTATTATTAAAAAAAATAAAATTAAAATTAGATAAAAATTAAAAATCTTAATTTTTTAAAATAAAGACTAAAAAATAAAAAAATATTTAACAATTTGAGTATTCGGGCTAATCTAAAAGCTTGAGGTGTTAGGTTCAGGCTTAGTTTTATAGACTCTTTTATGTTAAGTTCAATTCAAATAAGTCCAGTCTATCCCAATTATGGGCTCTCTATATATATTGTGAATCCCTTTTGTTGAAACCATAATTTGTCCTAGAAAAATAAAGAAATGAAGTAGACAGGCACCTCTTGTTTTCCTCATCCAAAAGCAATACGCATACAAGGCAATCAGAAGAACAATCACAACAACAGTAGCCACTGGAATTCCCACCATCCCAAGCTTAGAAAGTTTTGCTTTTGATTTCTTGGCATAATTTGCTGACAAAAGTGGCAACAAGAAGATCTTTATTAGGACAAATCAAAATCCAAAACAGTAAAAAAAAAAAAAAAGCTAACAATAAGGAAAAGTCATATACATATATACACACCTAATTCAACAGCATCAACACGAACATATAAATCATGTCCTTCCTCACTCAGTACCATTGTGTCCATCAAAGTCCCATGCCAAGCTAAGCATCCACTTCCTCCATTTCTGACATCTGAAGCAGCATAGGCATTACAAGAACAGTTTCTCAAGCATTCTCGTTCACATTCATCCATGCTCAAACCCTTCTTAACATTCGCTATGGAAGTATCTGGAATCTTCACACTTTCTACTTTAATGAATCCTTCTCCATTCCCACACATGGATGGTCCTTTCGTCCTCACACAACCCTCTGAAGCATCGTTATTATTCCAATTTGTTGGGTTTTTAGGTTCAAACCCAGGTAGGCAAAAGCACTTGTTGTATGCATAGTTAAAAGAGTCACACTTACTGTTAGCTCCACAAGTTCCATAGGTTTCACAATTGATTTCTGGATACGATCCGTATAGCTTCCAATCATTCTTATCGTACTCCCATTTATGTGTTTGCATGTAGCCTGTCGGAGTAACCCCCAACCGGAAGATGGCGGTGTGGTCGACGGCATGAAACATGATTCCTGCCTCATTGTCATTGTCTGTAACAGTGAGGTTGAAAGCATATGACATTTCTCGTCTCATAGATGGCAACCCCACAAGTATTTCGCCATTGAAGAACCCACCTCGCCACAGTGGAACGTTTTTATTGTAAAGAAAAACCTGATCTTTCCCTGATGTGTTGAACCTAAGTGAGATGCTTCCTGTTCCAGGATCATCTTCTGACTTCCATGACTGCAACAACCAGCTCTCACCAGTTCTTTTGTTGAAACCCAGTTTGGCGTATGGAAGAAGAGTGTCAGTGGGATGATCAAAGCTTTGCCACAACAAAGTTTTGGAGTCATTCTGAATCTGCAGAACAAGATTACCTATATCAGAGAGTTGAGCCATAACTGTTGAACTTGGAAGAGCAGTGACAGAAACATTCGTGGACCAGATGAAGAACTTGTCGGAGTTGTGATGACGGAGGATGAGATTTCCATCTGGGTTGATTGAGAGAACTCCAGAAGTGTCATTGATGGGATTGTCTCTGTTCGCGACCCAAACGACAGTTTGCTCTGGCAAGTTATAGTACCAGATTCCTACATAGCGAAAGCTAGATTTGCCTGGAGAGAAGAACCCAAGAGCGAACTTTCTTCCTTTGGAAATAAGAAGCTCACCATCACTAATGGGTTTGCCAATGGTTATGGCATCAGAAGCTGATGAGCGAAACAAGAAGCCGTGAAAGAATAATATAATAAATATGAAGATCAGCCTGAAAACTATCTTATTTATCAGAACTGATGCCATCACTAATAATGATATAAAAAGTGTAGCTGATGGTATTGCTCCTTGTATATAAGGTAATGATATGAAAGCTGTTGAGTTTCCCCCTATACACGCCTAATATTCTTTATTAAAAAAAAGTTATAAATAATGATTTTTTTTAAAGAATAACTTGGAATTTACTTTATGATTAAAAAATTGACAAGTAAAAGGTTATGTAAATTATTGACAATAACGTACTTGTCACATTTACTCGTACTATTTCAAGTTACCTTTAAAAAATAACATATAATTAAGAATTCTCTAATTGACAAGTTCATGTCCAGATTTAAAAACTAACATACAAAATTGAAGTTTACATGTAAGAGGCCAATGGTAAAAAATGTTAGCCATTTAAGACTTCAAATAATATATAGAGAAAATGTTATTTAATTAGGGTCTATAAGCAAGATAATGACAATTTGAGCCTAAAGAATTCTGAAATTTTTCAATAAGCTGGCTGGACTGCAGTGAAAATATTTTGCAAGGTTAAATGAAGAAAATACCACTTGTATGAGTAAAAACTAAATGCAACATGTGACAACCAGATCTTGGCTTATCCACATTTTTGTTAATTAGAGAACTATTACATGTTAATTTTTAAAGGTAACTTGAAATTGTACAAATAAATGTAATATGTGACAACCAGATATTGATTTAACTTTTATTTGTTATTTTTTCGAGTGACTTGAAATTTATTTTATGATTACAAAAATAACAAAGTAAAAAGTTATGGAAATTATCGGCAATAACGTATTCGAGTTTTACAAGTTAATCTTTAGTAGTTACTAGTCACATTTACTCGTACAATTTCAAGTTACCTTTAAAAACTAACAAATAACAATATTCTCTAATTGACAAGTACGTTCAGATTTATACAAGTCAATTTCTAGTTGTCACATGTCTCGATTATTTATACAATTTTAAGTTTTCTTTAAAAATTAACATGCAAGCATGCGTACAGATTTTAACAAGTTAATCTCTAGTTGTCAAATCTGCACATTTATTCATATCAAGGGTATTTTTGATATTTAACTTTGAAACATATTTTCACTGCAATCCAACTAGCCTTGCAAAAGAAATTCAATTTTTTTAAAACCCAAAATACCATTATCTTATTTTCTAGTGGCCCTCAATGACATTGTCCCTAATATATATATATATATATATATATTGGAAATGCATTTAATCGTCAGTGTATATATATGTATAAGAATATACTATTTGCTTGTTGAGAAATATTGTGTTTTGTTTTTTTTTTTTTTGCCAAACGTACTGTTTACTAGACACTATTTGCTTATGCTAATATATAATATAAAATATCTGCATAGAGTACCTTTAGATCACTGTAGACACCGAAATGTTCTAAAGTGATCGTTAAGAGTCAATTCTTTAGAGGCATCGTTGTCCAAGTCAACTGAAGACCTAGTCAACGAAATCATACTCTCAGATGAGTGCGTTACTAGCTAGTCCATTAGATTAGTGCCATAATTCCACGTCGCGATAGGTTGAAGAAATTTCATTCCAACTTTCCATGCGCATTTCTTGAATAAAAAGCTATCTCATTCAGATGACTTCTTCACCAATACAAACGTATTGAAAAATAAACTAGTCAGGTTTAAGACACTTAGTTTAAAAATTAATAATAAAATTATTGTTTAAACCATCATTAAATTGATTATAAATAAATTATTTTATTAAACCATGATTAAGACACTTGGTTTATTAAGGTTGACTCAATTTTTCATACCATATGGTAATAGTCCAAGCAAGAAAAGTAGACGAAATCATAATGATCATGATGTTGGATTATTTTCAAATAACCTCGGGAATTAAAAAATATTTGGGGGAGAGGTTGTATTAACTTTGGTTCTACCTAATTGGACTTCAATTAATTGGAGTCAAATATAATTTTTAGATACTAAATGGTTTGAATAAAAGAAAAAGGAATTAACGTAGCTTATTATAGAATGGAAGATTGGTGAGCTCGCAACTTTTTAATCTACGCCTTATGCAAACTTATGAATCCAATAAATATTGGAAAAGGAAAGAATAAACTTGGATAAATGGGCAATATAGATTTAAAAATTATGAGTTATAAAATAAGTATTATAGGTATTTTAAATCACATAATTTCGTTATTTTTTAAAATACGAACAAGGAAATTAAATTAATTGTTTGTTTATTTTTTTATATGACAAAATTTCTCATTTTAAAACCACCAATTCAACTATGATTTGAGCGCCTAAATTAGCTCAACAGCTATTGATGCAAAACGGGAAAAGGGAAAGAGAGAAAGGTAATAATGAGAATATAAAGAGAAGAAAAAACTGGATATAGATGAAAGAGAAACTCGAAGCAGAGGCAAATTGATGGCAATTTTTATTCAATTAATGATGTGTCTAAAGTAAATGAATTGATGCACTATTTATAGGTCTCAATTTAATTTTAAAAATAAATGCTTGAGAATTGTAGAAATTTAAAAAATAAAATTAAATAAAAATATAACAATAAATACCAAATATAACAATTATTCAAATATTACTAAAATTAAAATAAAATATTTTTAATTAATAAAATATCCTAATAAAATACATTTAATCTTTTAATCTTTTCAAATCTTTAATATTTTTAATTATTTACTTTTTTTTCTTCCCATCATCCATCTAGTTCTACTAAATTTAAAGTTTTTTCTGGCCAAAAACGGAAATATCGTTGTACATAGATTAACTATCACTGTCCATCGTATCATTGTTTTTAAAATTGCAATAATTAACAAGGGCTTGCATTTCATTTTTTTTAAATGATTAAAATATACTTTTAATCTTTTAACGTTATATAAAATTTTAATTTAATTTCTTAATTTTATAAATTATTTTGTTAAATTTTTAACCATAATATCATTAGTTTTAAATAATTTTATTAATGATATTATTTTTTACATCAATCACTATTATTTTTTAAAAAAATTAAATTTTATATGTCAACATTTGAGAATATATTATCAATATTTAAAAATTTAATATAAAAATTTGTTGAGATGAAATTAATATAAGAATTATATAATTAAAAAAAATACTTTATAAAGAAAATAAATTAAAATAAAATCATGTATAAAATTAAACAATTACATGTATACTTCAATCTTTAAAAATTTACTCTGTATTTTCAATCATCCAAATTCATGTCATGATTTCATCAGGGAAATGATCTTTGTCCCTTACCAATCAACTACTTTCACGCGCGCACATGTAACACATTAAATTCAACATAAAAACGATGAAAACAAAGACAAGTTATGACAAAATATCAGATAGCAGAAATTTCCTTGCGAGGGATACGGCCATCGAGAAGTTTCTTGCTGAATCTACAAACACCCCAAGACTTTTGTAGGCTAAAAAAAAAAAAAGAAAGCACTGAATTGACTTTTGAGACGTCTGGTCCCAACCCCTGGAAATTAAAACACTAAAAGTCAAATAAAACCGCGTGGAATTCAAATTGGGTGGGTGTATTGTGAACTTTTTTCTGCACATTCTTTGAGGGTCTGATTCTCTAAAAGATGTTCCCGTGCCTGATCTAGTAGCCTTGAACAAGTCATCCCAAATCTTTAGTGAACAAAATTTGATCTAGTGCGTGGATGCTAAGAAAAACCTTCAACAAAATTTTACCAGATATTAATTAATGTTTAGAAGATTTTATATCAAAAGAAATATGCTGCACCATTTACTCAATTTAATTTCTTAATACATTGTCGATGCATGCCACAATAAAACCTGAATGAAACACACACACGCACACAGGCGTGCGCAATTCCAATCATACGAACCCGGTCCTTCATGCATGTGTGAGCTTGTTACTGTGATTGGAAATATTCCTATCATAACGAAGTTACAATAATAATAATAATAATAACAATAATAATTTATATTATTATTGTTATTTTACTTTCAGTATCATTTCCTTATGGAACTAAGGACATATTTGATTTCTATTCTCATGTTTTTATTTTTAAAAGCTATTTTTAATACAGTTTTTAAAATTATTTTTTAAAATAAAATAAAATGAAAATTCATTTTTTTATGCCAATTAAAAAACAGGTTTAAAATTAAAAAATGGACTGATAGTGATGGTTTAGATAGTTAATAGTGGTGATTAATAATAGAAATTGTTTAAGGTAACTACAATTTTCAATGGTCAAATGTAGTGTATTTTAAAAGCAAAAAAGAAAAAGCTTGAAATTGTTTCTATTTTTTAAAAAAATGAAAATAATTTTGGAAAAAATTAAATGAAAAATACTTTTCCAAACAAGTTTTAACGTTTTCCTGTTTTCAAAAACAAGAAAATAATTTTTTAAAATAGAAAACAAACAGACCCTAAGTGTGTGATTTTTAGTTTGTCAAAAATTCATTTATCAAAATTATATTTGTAAAACTCAAGTCAGTGAAAGTTATTTATTGTAATAACGAGATTTATATTTATATACATTTACAAAAATTCAATTTAGTAAAATAAAATTTTTTTGGATATATATAAAGTATTTTAATTACCAAAACACACAAATTTATTTATATGTAATACTTGTTATATAAAATTTGATATGAAAATTATTAGAGACAAGAGAGAGAAATTGGAAAAGATTGAAAAATGCCATGCATATTACTATTATGCAGAGCATAATATATACAGGGAAGAAAAAACAACCTAATAATGATTATTTACAACATCAT